ATTTTTTAGAAATTTATTCTGATTTTGTGTTACATTTGAGGGACCTAGACAATCATGAGATATCTATGCAACCGGTCATCCAATCGCTTGACGAGTATCAGGGTTTCTCCGAATAGTCACTCAATTTTTCTGTTAGCTTTGTATTTTTTGTATATTTTTTATTAATTCTTAAAACCGTCTCTAGTCTGTTTTACTGCAATTTAAATTTTGTACATCTGAGGATAGCCAAAACCCGAGGCCGAAACATGTCATGTTTGATATATTATTCAACGCATTACATAATTTTATTAATGTTTAATTTTTATGTTAATTTTTTTTATATGGTTATGTCAATATATTTGCGTTGATTCAATTTTTAATTTTAGATGTTTGACTTTTATTAGCCTTTTACTCTTATTAGCCTATTTATTATATTTTGAATACTAAAAGAGTCCTTTACTTTTATATTTAATATTTATTAGGATTAAAATTTCTATAACTGTATTAATATTTTTTTATTTTCATATCACGCGATCTGTTGAGGCTGTTATGCCTTTGCAAATTCAAATATTTCGATGGAATATCTAACATAATATTGTAAACATTGTTTACATTTTTTATAAAAAAAGATGTGTATTTTAATCAAGCAGTGATGTCATGATTAAAGTGATTTACTCTCACACACGTTACACACATTTTATAAGAGTAAGTAATTTAAATTTTTAATTTAATGTGCAGTTAACATATAATCTAAAAATACAATTTTAAACGCATTTTTCTCAAAATCATCTTTTTCAATCTAGTTGACAGCAAATCAAAAAATCTATTCGACCTATTAACTTGGTGTAAATTGCATTTTGTTCAGAAAACTTACTTCTATCGCCGGATGTAGCCGATTTTTAATTAATAAAATTGTGAAATTAAAAAATTGTAACATAAAATTAGAATAAATTTGTAAAAAATAATATAACAAGTAATAAAATATTCAACATGAATATTGTTGAATATTTTATTACTTGTTACATTATTTTTTACAAATTTATTCTGATTTTGTGGCCAAATTATAAAAAAAGATTCTCACGTCCGCCATTTTGTTACTTTTTGTAATTTTTTCTCTACATCCGGCTACAGCTATATTCATTTTTTATTATTATAATTTTTTATTTTTTGTTTCATACAGCGCATATACTTGATTTGTTGTCAACGAGGCAAAAGTAACTGTTCAAGGTTACCCTTTGTACAGCTGCCGTTATATATTATTATAAGTAATCAAGAAAAAAAAATTTTTTTACATACCTCAGTATTGATATACAATAAAGACGCCATAAAAGTTACCTGATTTTATTATATATTTAGAAAATTCCCAAAGGACTTCCTGTTTTTCAGGCCTTCATCCTGTCTATAGTCCTTAAATAAGTTTCCATTGCGTCTACTTGATTTCTGAAAAATAAGTTCACATTTGATATAATTATAGAATGATCATTATTTCTAACGCATTGTTTTATTTTTAAATCTTGTTTATTGTATATTTCATATTTTTGCAGTTTAATTATTGTTATACGTTATTAATATTTTAAATTGAACTTGTCAGTTTCGTGTTCACACAACGTTTATTTAAAATAGAAATAATTATAAAGATTCCACAGAAATATAAATGAAACAGACACTGAGCTAAACAGATGTTTTAAATTTCTTTACAGCTATTTTATTTTTCTATAGAAAAATTTGCTAAATCCCTGACTTTCCTTGACTCCTGACTTGTGGCAAAACCCTGATAATTATACATTTTTCAAAATTGTTTTCATAAAAAGAAACTTTCAAAATATTAAGGATTATTTCATTAATTATTACTTTTAATCATCGATATTATAAAATAACCTGATTGGACTAATTTTTTTATGCATGCTAGCAAAATAAGCCTACTCACTGCAAGGTTATTCCATCGGCGTCCAATTATGCTTTTTTATGTCTCCCTCTCCTTTTCATGCACAAAGTGTCGAGCCAGCTTCTCTCTTCTCCTCCCATTACTTTGCGTAGACATTCGTTAGTTGAAGCAATCATTTTTTTAAATTAAATGCGCGTCCTTCTCTGCAATAAACGACAAATGTACGTATAGGTTTAAGTTTCAATTATCATTATATAATCGTCTTAGAATCCGTCTCATATCCACCACAATTTATAAATCACTAAATAATCGCGTAGAGTTTAACTGAGATGGCAAAGAATCTTCGTTTTTGCGCGTCTAAAACGACGCGACGTCAAGGCGCTGCAACGCGAGCATATAGTATCGCTATGTTTCTCACTCTTGGCGCTCTTGGCGTCGCGCGTCGTGTTCATGCATTTTCCATATTTCGAGCATGAAACTTTTTCTCTAGGACGGAAAGTGAAAACTTTTATCATTGAAATTAATGGAGAAATTTTTTATTTTTCATTCTAAAGAAAAAGTCTTATGATCGATACCCAAATATATCTAACTAGCGATCATGTATCTTATTTTCTCTACAGCGGAAACGCGAAAAGTGAAATTTCAAACACCCTGTATAAAACTACGTATTATGACCGTATCGTGTGAACAAGCTCTTACGCAAACAATTATAGTATAAATACCGAATCTCTAGTTGCGTGATAAATGTCGAAAAATTATTAAATCAAGTTTACCTATGTTTTAATTACCACATTTGCGCTGCCACTCTGCGTCATTCCCAATCCATTCCGGGAATGAAACGCGAATGTGATCGAAAAAAATGGCGTCGTTTTCCGCGTGCGACCAACTTCATATAACGTAATAAAAAGCGACGCGATCGCGATCATCACTTTATTTATCTTGATTTTCGCGCAAACGATTAAAAATATGTTCGAGAGTTCAAAGACTTGTTCTTAAAATATTTCTCGCGTCGCATGTTAAGATATTATAATGTAATATAATAATTATTAGTTACCTCGTTGGTAAATATTTCCGCGTCGTTCTCGTTGTTTTATTCTCTGCAAAGATGAGGATACATCAGGACGTTTCTGGAGATCAGGATACTTCCGAAGATATAAGTGGAGGATCAGGATGCTTCCGAAGATATAGTGCAGGATCAGGATATTTTCGAAGATAGCGCAGGATCGGTGTACTTCCGAAGATAGTGGAGATCAGAATTCTTGCGGAGATAGTGGAAATTCTTTCCAGAGGAAAGATTCCAGTGCGAAACAAGAGAGCGAAGAGCGAACTATTCCAACGCGATATGACAGGTGACGACAGGTTCAAACTCGTCCGCTGGCCGAAGCGCAAAAGTGTGAAACCGCGAATTACGCGATATTTATATGCTCCGATCAGACTCGAACCCCACCACTCGCAGTCAACCAATGAGCGCGATGTGGCTCGATTCTCTGCTACAAGCGCGTATTCAAGCGCTGGTTGGATCACCGCTAGCTTTCTATTGAAGTGTATAAAACGCGACGCGCAGAATTTTCAATAATTTTCAGATTTTGATGCTGTGTTATGTGTGGTTTTTGAGGACAGAGAAGCTGGCATATATTTAAAACGCAATTTTACGTTGATAATGCACTTTCTGAATATAGGTTAGAAACTACATTCGTATTTATGAAAATTAAATATCATTTCAAATAATTAAATGAATTCATATCGGCCTTTTCCCTGTTACCGTCGAAATCGTCCGTACGTCTGTTTTCGTTTTGAAAATTACGTCTCTTACATTTTTGACGTATTTTCTGCTATATGATTTCCCCCTGCCTTGATAGAATTAGAAAATCAATGTAGCTAAGTAGTTTTCTCAAACCAAAAATGAATGTACTGATAAGTGTATAAGCGATTTTGACGATAATAGGAAAATAGCCGGCATTGTCTCTCAGATTTTTCTGCTAATGTCAAGAAAGCTAAAATAATTCTTATGTCAACTTGCATCGCCAGATAAAACGCACTTGTTACAAAGCCTATCATTGTGACAAAATTGCTACTTACATATATCATTAACAAAGCTACCAAATATTTTATATTTAAACTTAAGGATTTGTCGGTTCGTTGAATAATAATGTGATGTCAATTGCTCGCTTCTTGCCTTTATTCTTATTTTATTGTTGATACGATCTAGATAAGTTTTACTTGTTTCTTATATACGATATTGCAAGTGTAATCAATTACAAGATAACATTATTAAAGCAAGTTAAATTACAAGAATTTTTATGAAATAGGTGTCATAAATGTTAACGAAGATGACCCAGAACTAAGCTTATCCAGTTTTTCATCAGCTTTGTCGTTTTTCAGATCCTATTGCATATACAGGAATTTGTTCCATTCATCAATTCTTGGATGAGCTAGATGCTGTGATAAACAAAAAATTAAGTACAATATATCATAAATTATTTAGTACGCAATTGTGCCAAATAAACAGTCACGAAAAATTTTAAAGTATCATCATACGTACCTCGGCGACGTCATAGATCCATATTTTACCAGTATCATTTCCGACAAGTAATATGCCCGCTTGGCGTCCATGATACTTTATTCAAAGCAGGACATCCATCAACTGGCGGTAGGTAGTCTGTATCTTGATTCCGATTTCACAAATCTAATCTGCCCGAATTGTCAACAGCGCCGGATGTTTTGGAGACCAAGCAACGTCATAAACATAGTAGGCATTATGTTCAAAAGAGTAAAGCGGTTTGTTCTCTTTCAGGCTTCAAAGTTTGATAGCCCAGTCGAGGGAAGATATCAGAAATAGATGGTAGAAGTCTATATCGCCTTACACTGCATGTGCATTATATACTAGTGGCAGGTCCCTGATGACTTCATATATTTCTGTCAATCCAACGCGGCTACCATGTCAACAGGCTATTCAACAAAATGTTAAAATGTTAATAATTTTTACAAATTATTTTTAACATTTTCACATAGATGGACAACTGCACGTACCTAAGTAAACAGTTCAGTCCTCACTTCCCATGACGAAATTATTAACAGTGCGAGAAGGCCAAACATATAGCAGCAATTGCTTTTATAGATTGCTTCATGTGCAATTCCAATATGCCTCTTGCGATTGTGACAGCATTTATGTTCATGAGCATAATTTGCCGTCTGTCTAATCAAATTGTGTGCGATTTGTATTCCAACAACGTTCAAGCAGTATACTGGAATACTGGATGCTGCAAAATAATGTAATGATTTTTTTTTAAATCATGAACATAGGGAAGATTCGAACCAAAAATCGTGGACATTACCGACACATTCGTGGACATTGAGGCGCTTCAAAATAAAGTTGCAGCTAAATCCCGGGCATGGCCGCTTTCAGGCTTCTCTCTGGTATGAGTTTCGAAAAAATTAATTGCACATGAAAATGGTATTATCTTGAAAACGTATTATTTAATATTAATCAGTATAATTTTTTAGATTTACCAAATCGTATTGTCGCATGTCTTCGCATTGTATTTGCTGTATTTTCGGCGGAACTGAAAGCTATACCAGATTTATAATCAAATCGAATGTAGCAATTTATCCGTTGAGAACATTCGTAAACGTGGCTATGTAGTTCGAAATGTAACATTTTGTGAACGAGGGGGTGCTAGCGGACGAATTCCCTTCTTCAGAATTGTCGACGCCAGCGGTCGCCACAATCACGATCATCTGATCGGCTGCTGTCAAAACTCCTCAACTCCGTGTGTTGCATCTGTTATTCTGCTTGATAAGATCATGCAGGATCAGCAGGAGTGAAAATGAGAGAGACGTGTGCTCTTGAGCATCGTTGCATCGCTTGATTTCAAAATGCATGTGAGAAGATAGTACCAGCGAGAATGAACACGAACATGAATTCACCGTCGAAACTCACGGAGTTTGCTCCGTTGAGTCCCGAAGAGAGCCAGCCCGTAGTAGCCTCGCTGTTCTCCAAGTTCTTCAGCTTCACCAGGAGTTAGTATTCTAAGTGTATAGATCTTATTATTTATTATCATTTTATTGTTTTATGTAAACAAACTGACACTGAAATATGCTTGGAAATGTATTCTACTCTTTCTAATGATGAAAGAAGGTCATACAAACATAGATCTTTTTTCCAAAATATACACATGTTTTGTTTATAATGAAAATGTACTTTTAGCAGGACATTCCACTATGTAAAAAGGTCTCCTAGATAGAAAGAAGCAGAACTTCTACAGTATTCCCTTTAGTTTGTCTTTATATCAATGTCGATCATCTGTACATTCAATATTAGAATAAGCCATTCTGATAACATTGGGTCTGTTCCTTATCGATGAATTCTCTGTACACAAGTGCACATCAATGTAATAATTCAAGTCTTTATGACATATTTTAAATATACATTTTGACAAAGATGTTATGAAGAGGTCTTTTAGATATATATATATATCTAAACAATGTATGTTATTTGAGAAGTTGAGATGATTAAATATAAGATCTGTTTTTTGTACCTGCACTATCTGAAGTAGTGCACACGGTACAATAAGTTGAAATGAAACAAACATATATTTATTTCACTGATGGATATTGTTTATTTTCAGATCAATTTAATACAATATATTCTGTCTTTTCAATATCAGAATGGTACACTTTACACTGTTTACTATATTCTTTACTTCTAACAAAAGAAAAGTGATAGTTATTGTAATTCTATGTATGACAGCTATTCATGAAAAATTTTTACACAAATATGTTTATATCTCAGAGAAGAGCTCCGAACCTATATATGATTGTTTTCAGTAGAAAAAACAGCTCTACAGCTCACAATTGTTATAAGATTTTTTAATTGATTGATTATTATACATTTAGATCCAGTAAGGAACTGAAAGAGCAATAACTGATATAATCAAAAGATTAAAAGAATCTAATAACAATTGCAAAGCTGCTTTTTATCCTGAATGCAGTCTATACTTATATTTTGATTTTTGTTTTCATTCTTAGAAAAAGGCAGAAGAATATATTATAATGACAAAATAATAATCTTTTGTATAATGAGTGAATAATTTCTTATCATTATGATTTACATTTAGATAATGTTAATGATTCCATGGTGTCTTCTAACAACGATGAGCATAGCTCTTCCGATTCAGAATCCTGGAAGCAGTCAGAAAGCACAGAACAAACCCCAGATGACGATAGTGGCAGTATAATTAATTTCCCATTAGACAGTAACGAAGGCCGTAGTTTACCAAACGTTTTGAAACGCATCAGTAATATTGTAGCATTAAAAAGTAACGTGAGTTTTAAAGATGTTTTGTATAATGATCGAATGCGTTTTATTTTATTTCATTGTATGATAGTTTTTATAATAATTATTATTTGGAATGCAGAATTTACGTTCATATAAGGATTCTCAATTAAGAAGTTACTGGATGCCAGATAGTGTGAGTAAACAGTGTTATGAATGCGGCGAAAGATTTACGACGTTTCGACGAAGACACCACTGTCGCGTGTGCGGACAAATCTTCTGTTCCAAGTGTTGCTCCGATCAAATACCAGGGAAAATTATGGGATGCACTGGTATTATAAATAAGTTATCATTACTCACAATAACTACCAATGCCTTGCAATTTTTATTAAATTCAACATCGAAAATTGATGTTTATATTTAAAATAAGAAATATTTTTTAAACATTAATTGTAAAATATAGGTACATATTTGAAATTTGGTGAAAGCAAGAAGGATCTATAATAGTGTAGGAAAAGAAAAACAAACTTTATATAATTATCTACAAATTACAAATACATACGTGCGCGTATGTGTGTGTAATTCTCTATATTATTAGTTTTTTTTTATGTTTTTCAGGAGATCTTAGAGTTTGTACATATTGCTGTAAAGTAGTTCTTTCGTACTTGCAATCATCGGATATGAGGAGTGATTTATCGGCTGATCTGAAGGCTCTGCAAGAGGATCTTCAAGTAAAGTATGGAAATGATTCACCGTTATTAGCACGAAAGCATGCTAACGAAACGATGGGCGACGAAACGTCAATATGTCGAAAACCAAGTGTAGGATACATGGAAGAGAATTATGCAACAGGACGGTACGTTAATTAATCTAAAACTATGGGCGTGAATTTAAACATCATACAGTGTTTATATAATT